AAAAGAAAATAGAAAAGGAATGTAGCAATGCAAACTGAAGAAAGGAAAGCCATTAGCACGTCTTAAAAAACATTAACACTGTCAGCTAAAATAAGATTGTAATTAGTAAGGGATTTAGATTCTGTACACGTAAGAAACGATACAACAACCTGCTCATTGGAGACAATACTATTCAAATGTTACTCAGGAACAAAGACTGATAGATAATTACGTGCAAGGAGTGGGAGGGTTACAAGAAATGTTTCAATCTAGTAGACTGAACCACAGCTGAAAAAAGGCTAAAACAATAACCTTGAAAACAAGCATTAATAAGCCTCTGTCACAACACAAGGAGGATAAAGCACAACATGTTTGTTTACACAGTGAGCAAAATTTTGCCTACAGGCAGACCTACCTTTCACAACAGTCATACACCTATATACATACGTGAAAGTAAAATATAGCTTTAACATTAACTATAGAGAAGCAAGACGTCACAACCTAGGACTGCATATTATAAAAAGTCTTGTAAAAATAAGATGTTTTATAGCCTGATTCGTAATAATTTTTGACAACATGAGCTAGGAGAACTTACATGTGGTTGATTTTTTTTTTTTAATTACTAATATACATTTTTAAAAAATACAACGACAGAATACAAATGATCAGATCTGGCTTCTGGTGCTTGTGCTGCCATTAATAATCACTAGTTGTCCCTGAGAGACAGAAACAGCAAGCAGCCTCACCTAACAGTGATGTTGTAAAAAGAAATTCATTAATACTGTGTGGAGCACTTGGATACCACAGTGAGAAGCAGCACAGCAAAGCCTGTGAGGAAATTAATCATTCTGCATTCAGTGCAGGATCTGGCAGACGTGCAATAAAGAAAGCCTGGAGACATACATTAAATATGAAGAGATTCTAGCCATTACCAGCAGAAATAATATCCCCTGAATGAGCATCATCTGCCTTAGGCATTAAACGTTTGACGTATTCTCATTCAATACAAGGGAGAAACTTCTGATTAATGTGGTAAGATTATAGCAAGTATCATCCAGGTATTCAATGCAAATATATAGAATTTGGTAATCTAATTGAAGTCTATCTTAAATATAAGTTCTGAGACTAGTATTTCCTCATTTCCGCATGCTTAATTTTGCAAGTAAATAACAATCCCACAGTGCAGCAATTATTAGCAACTGTACATTATCTCAACACTCAGAGGCTCCTGTAACCACAGCTCTAGGCGTGTTGTGTATTAGCACAGTAGATCAATCTATGTTTCATGCTGCAGCTGCTAGACTACTTCTGTAATCAAGCTACCCTGTTTGACAGCTAGCTCAAGAGAGTCAGGATAGCAAAGGCATGACAAAAAATAATTAAAAAAAAGGCTTAACAGTGGCAACAAACCTGTAGGTTTACAGCTAGCTCAGATGACTGTACTAACATTGCAACTGTAAATTACTAATGTTATTTTACTCTACATCAGTTCAGTTCTGCTCTGCCATCCAGGTAAGTTATGCTTTATCTTACCCCATCAGCTCAAATCTGAAGACAGATTTCAACTTTCTCCTCTGTTAATCAGTAGGGACGGCTGCTGTAGGGAGGACTCTAGGATGCACCCCTGGGTTGGAAAAGGTCTATCAAAGCTGTTTTCTACAGTACTTCAGAAATGGGGAGAAGCAGCAAGGGGGCTCCATGCACGCCTGTCTAGAAAAATGAAAGATGTGCTAGAATAATCTGGCTGGCAGAAATAGTCTTAATATCCGTGCTGAGATGCAGCAGTGCTGTAACATATCGTGGTTGCTAGTACAAAAAAAACTCCATTGCGTGAGACAATATGGATGACCAAATCTAGTTCTTCAAGCAACCATGTATAAACCCATGTCACTGTGTTGAGTGAAGCTGCAGTATGAGGCAGATAGCCATGGCCTGAGGAACTGTAGCATCCTTGAAGGTTCCCAGGTGGTATATCAACAGGTACATCTTTGGGCTGGTGCCCAAATTATCTCTCATTCTGACCCAAGGAACCAGCCCACAGAGCACTGGGGGAGGGGGGGGGCGCACAGCTTAGGCGTTCCAATCACCTAATCTGCTGAAAAGAAAGGCAAGGCTCTTCCACCTTCTCTATGCAATAGCAACTGTCTTTCACATTTAGTAGGACAGCCCACTACCTGGAGACAAGTCTGACTCTTGCATACAACCTGCCTTGGAAAGAAGAGGCTAGCCTGTGCTTACCTAGCAAGATGGAGGCAGGCTCGGGAAGACATGAAACTCCCGGAGCCCCACAGGCTATGTGTGTGCTTTCTCTCCATGCTGCTGCCCATGGCTCGGGCTCCAAGCGTATTTGCTGCTGAGGAACAATCAGCTCAGTTTATTAGCTGGTGAGCCCCAGAGTAGTGCTTGGACCTCTTCTGCCTAATTCAGACAGACACCACAAGTAGGAGTTTGGGTCTGTTCAGCCAAATGTATTCTGGGTCTTCATCTTGAGAAACTTCAACGCTTGGCTGAGCTATTGATACATTTACTGCTTTCTTTCCCACAAGAGGAGCACTTCTATTAAAAAAGGTGCATGGCATACTTTCCAAGACAAATCTGACCAGTTGCAGGGGAAAAAAAATTATTTATTTTCACGAATATACCTGTCCAAATGATGATGCAAAGTTCCCTTTCAAGGATCAATTCTGCCTGATTTCTGAGGATGCAGGTGGCCAGTGCCTCATGAGCAAAGAGATTAATAATTTTAATAGCCAGATCTTTCATAGCAATAGGATAGCATAGCAAAGCTTAATGACATGTTTGTCCTCAGCTAAGTCAATGGTAGTAGGTAATAGCAATTTTCTTCTTCAGCAGATATGAAAAATGCTACTATAGATATGTTTTCCATTTACTGTGTTATTAATACTATTCAACTAATGGAAATTGGGGTAGTCTTTTTTTTTTTTTTTTTTTTTTTTTTTTAAGTAGCCTATCAGTTAGCTTCTGTTTGACACAAGCAGGACATACCATGAATCTGCTGTTCATAAAAGGTCTGCTCATTTCAACATAAAATTAAAGAACTAAATCTGATTGAATGTTAAAACTAATAAAGATTAAAACCAAATAAAGATTTACCTAGCTTTCCTGGAGATAAAAACCAAACAAACCTAAATGGGGGCTAAAGACTTGCAAGAGAGTTGGCAATCACCACATCATAATAAAGACATTCTAACAAATTGTAGAAATAAGCAATCGAAAACATGGAATGGAAAAAAAAAATATTCATAGTAAGAAAATCAAGAAGTTCTAATATTGGTTTGTGAAAAATACCAACAGTACATAATGATAACTAGTTACAGGGTTCTAAGGCTATGACAGCAAAACTCACAAGTATTACTACACAAAAGCAACTTTTTCTGATTCTTTGTAGCTCAGAGCACTCAAATATATTGATCGCTTCATTTGAATACTCTAAAATCTCCTGTCTTAGTAATATGAACAAGGCATAAGGGAAACTAAAGCTAGTAAATTTGTAGAAGCCTATGCTCTATTTCATTGTTCAAAAAGCTCACAGGTCTAATTAATTCCCCCATAAACTGAAGGAAGTGTTAATGACAAACATCACTCCCATTTCTAGCTAAATTTTCTGTTCATCTTTTTTTGAAAGAGGGTAGGTTTGATATTAAGTATTCTCAATAAATGATAGCTAAAAATATCTAATGCCAGGTACATCAATACAAATGTACAGTCCCTATCTCTCATCTCCTCTGACTCATGGGAACTTGGGACATCAAAATCACAGGGAAAAGAAACCGTTTTTTCAAACTGTTTCACTGACATTGATATTAAAATACCTATTTCATTTTCAACACATCAGAAAAAGATACTTCCTTACTTCACAGATGTCTGACAAACAGATGTATCCTCACAGGTTATCACACAATCAGTATCACTTTTGGTTATATAACAGAAATCATCAAGGCCCTGGAATAGGCCATGTCATGAAATGACACGTCTCTGTAGTTATTACATTTAAATAACGTGTCAATCTTGATCAAAAGATTATCTCTTTAAGGGACCAGGACATCCATCAGTAATGTTCTTTTACTTGCCCAGTGAGTAGATTACAAGGAATTTAAACAAACAAAGACTGTTTTTTTGTTGGAAAAGCGTGTTCCTTATTCTTTACTGTAAACGGACATAGTTTATGCCAAGGTGCCAATTCACATAGCAACTGGTTTTCTTAACTTTTTAGAATTCCCTTAGTGACTGATATAGTAATCTGTGTCAAATATGATCACCATCAAAATATATAGGTTCTTTTTTGATGATTGAAAAATGTATCCTACCCTTAAAATTATACTTTTATCAGACTATATAGATAATTAACATATTATTATTCAGGAGAAGTGTGTATAAGATTACTAAAACTCCTAAGAGACTCTAATTTCTTTCAAGCATTTCTTAAGTTCTCTTTCCTATTCTTCCACACAGTTTTACATAAAACAAATTTAGCCATGTAGTTCCAGTGTGTAATCCCTCATTGGATAGGGATTTTAAGCCTTAAAACAATGATTAGGAAAACGGTCACCTAAGAAATACACGTAGCACAGAAAACCTTGTCAGCTGGCAAAATCTTGACTGGTGATCTATTTTCTAGTACTCCAGAATCACCAGTACCATAGACATGTTGTATCATTAATTTATTTTATTATTGCTTGAAAGATGAAACTATCTTGTCTCATAAGGAATGACAGCAGCCTCTCAGGTTATATTGTTTACCATTAGAATGGCTTTAGTGAGTTTAAACATTTATCTAATCACTACACCACCTTTTTATCCACTTCCAAACTGAAAACATCAACTACAGTAACAGAGTTTCAAATTTTTTATAACTATGAACCAGAGAAAGCTAAAGGATTATAGGGTAACAGTGCTAAACCAATAGCGTGCATTTTACATAGCATCTGAGTCTGCATTTTAAGTAAAAGGAACATGACATAGTATTCAATGGCATAACAACATGAAGACCTTGGTCTTACCCTTTGTTTTCAAGTCGTTTAATACCTTTGATTCCATGGGCAGTATATCGCTCACTAGTTTTATCTCAATATTTCGGGATGCCAGTTCAAGCAATTTTTCAAAGAGACGCTGACCCTATGAAGAACATTAAAGGAAAGCAGAAGTTGACATAGAATTGTTCAAATAGCGTACCAACAAATTAAAGAAGCATGTTAAAACAAAAACATTGTACAACAGCTGAGTAAGTATGTTCCTAGATACAGTTCAATCTACTTTAAAGGTTAGCAACTCCAGCAATTTTTTCCTGGAGAAATACGGTTTTGAAGGCCAAGCTTGCTTCTTCCTTTTCCCAGATTGTGCAATAATATTGATGACAGGCAACATGCAGAGAATGAAGTGTCGGAGGTTTTTATTCTGAATAAACATATTTTTACACTAACTTTCATCTAAATAATTACATTCTGTTAAACAAGGATAAAAAGCGCAAGGAAAAGAGTCTATTACACTTCTTCTGTATCGAATGATTTTTTTTTTTTTAAGTGGTTCTAACCATAATACAATACATTTTCAAGTAGTCACGTGCTCTTCTTTAGATGAGCTCTACTAGAAAGGAAAACAATGATCTACATGTAGTTCATATGCTTTTCCTTTTTACGCTCCTATAACTTTAGTATTTAAACCCTATTTCTAACACAGAACAAAAAGAATCTCGTACTGAGCTAGAAACATTTTAAAACAGAAATCAAGACATTTGTTTCACATGAAATTGCCACATTTTTCCATATCCAAGAAAGAAAGAAAGAAAAAGTAGGCCTTTTGATGGCATAGTAAATATTTAATATTTAGAGTCAATATTTTAACTTTAAAAAAATGCTTAGTTAGAAGCATCTAACTACACAATGTCAAGAATAAAATACCCAGCGTATCACTACTGTGCTGTGTTACCACAACCACAGTTAGAGTCCATTACCTTGCTGCCATTCTAGCTTACTACAGCAGACACCAGTTACGGTTAGCAGTCAAATACACAAAAACTTTGGGTTTACGCAGCTGACAAAGCACATGCCCTACCTACAAGGTTCACTTTAGGTTCAGTATAATGCTGGCCCCAAGGTAAACCTAAACCAAAAAGCAACAGCAATATCAACTTTCAAACAAACAGGTAGAAGATAAAGTTTTCCATAGAACCATGTTATATAATTCTCTGTACAAACTGTTACTCTAAAAATCTTAAAAGGATCTTTCTGTTCAACTAAAATGGCCAAAGCAAATGCAGTCTGGGATGATGCAATCTGACGTAGCATGGACTAACAAACCCTCAGACAGAAGACCTCCTCCCACATCGAGCCCAGAAGCAGCAGACAGTGGAAAGCCACCCTTTGCCCTGTAAATGCCTGCACAGATTGACACCTTGAACCTTGCTGGGCCTTAAGCATTATGCAGTGACTGAAAGTAGCTCTTCACCTGTCTACTGTACAGACCTATTTTTTAATGTTCACTTGTTTTGAATATATGTGGCAAAATAAGAATACCCAATCTCCTAAAACTAGCCTTCTCAAAATTACAGAGCAGCCAGAGGCTGCAATGGAAACACAGAACTACTGTTTATGTTTTACTTTTGTAATATATACCTGCTTCCTCACTCAAATCCACAGCATAGCTCCCTGATCATCCCAGGGCTCACAGGAACTTAGTAGTCAACAAGATACTGCTATAACAAAAGCATTAGACAACAACTAACAACAGGAAAGCAAAAACATGCTTTGCATGAAGTTCCAAACGCTTCTTACACTCAGATTCAGCATTTCTTGAAATGACTAGGTGGTCCCATATGTAAGAATTACACCCATAATTTAACTCACACACCCAAAAACCCTTACTGTGTTGCTATGCAAGTCAAGGAGCAGCTTTCCTTCACATTCCTCATGAAGCTGAAAGGATCCTCAGTTCTAACATCAGTGACTGGGTTGGGTTTTTTTAAGAAAAAGAGGAGCAGATGCTACCAGAGGTAAGAATTAATGAAACAATAGCGTGGAGGGGATGGAAGCTGCGTACAGGGTTATGCAGCAGCTCTATCATGATCCTGGGGGAGCAGCAGGGCACTGACCAGTATTCCTGGGTGCCCAGCTCCCTCCAAGAGGGTCTTCTCCTGCAATTGCTGCAGACCAGCACTGCTAGACTCTAACTGAATCTGGGAACAGCAATCACTGTGCTGTTGTTTGCTGAGTTCCCAGCCCATGCCTTGCCCCGTCCCCCAGCTCCCCCAGCACGACAAGCTCCTGACATGCCAGAGTTTGGGCAGCCTTTGGACCCACTTCTCTCAGGCCCACCAACTGCAGGCACCAGTACTTTTATCTTTGCAAAAAGTGAGCAGGGAAAATTAAGGACTAAAAGGCTTGCATGACAAATTGATTAAATATATATATATACATGTGTGTGTGCGTGTAGAAACAGCTACTCTGAAAAGTTCTATGTGCTGATTTAATTTACTAGGTAGGAAGACAGAGACATACAGTCTTTGTTTGGGTTATCTGTAAAAACTGATTTTATCTGGAAGCAAGTAGAAAGTTCTAGCATACAAAAATAAACATGGAAAAGTATTCATAAATTTGATGGAGAGCGATTTGCATTATCAATACAAATTAATGCATTAACCTTTCTGCTAAATAAATGTTTAGAAAGTTAACATATAATGCTGACAAGACTATTTGTTTCAGGGGATGGTTCTTCACATTTTTTCCCCATGGTAATTATTTTTGGACATTATTGCCACTTCTACCTGCACAAGATTTTATTTACATATGATTTACAAAAGTTTTGGTAAATAAGCCTTGACTTTCGGTATTCATTTTAGTTTGGACAAAAAGAGAACATGGCAGTGCTTCCTGAGTTCTACCTGATCTTAGTATGCCCTGATGTGACCAACACAACATCCCTGATGGATGACCTGGCTGTCTCTTCCAGGCTACGCTGCCAGCTCAACAGCCCATCCTATGGGTGAACAGATCATTTGGGGTGCAGCCCTGTGGTCCAATGAAGACATCCTCTCTGAAAATACATCTCTCTTCCCATCAGGGACACCACAAGCTATGCATTTATAATACCCCTTTTTATCTAATTATGTTAATAAATGGTAAAACCTCAAATTGATAAAACACTTAAAGCATCTCTAAGTAGTGTTGGTTAAGACTAGGAGTGCACTCACCACAAATTTGTGTGTTTATACAGGTACAAAAAAACACCACTCACTGCCAGAACTGGAAAGAATTCCCTCTGTCTCATCTCTTGCTGCATCATCCATCAGCAAGCATTCATATGCTCACCAAGGCTTAGTCTAGACACTCTAAATTCACAACTTGCTTTTAAAAATCCGTATGTACTATAAAAGAGTAGGTTACTAGAAAGTCTTCCTTCATTGTTGAAGAACCTGGCCTTCTTCTCCATTAATATTAATTTGAAACTCAGTTTCTATACTTTGTGACATATTTACTTGCAATTTTACTGTTTCGTTCTACGAAAAGGAAAAAGACAGGACAGAAGGTCTGAAGAGTTTTGTCACTGCTGTCAGCACATTTGAAATGCTTCTGTTGAATGCAAACCCTCATGCTGTCATTCAGACCACATTCTCTTTGCGAGACAATAGCAGGCTGCTGCGCAACTATGTGACAGTGATAAGAATCACTTCTATATACAGCTTGTGAGGACTGAGAAATAGTAGCAGCCAAGTGCTATGAAACTGCAGTATGCTACCTTATACTACATTTGCATTTTAACAAACAATACCACCAGAAATCTGCCTATCCTGATAAAATATTCTCCTACACTTCTCACTGAACTGTTTCAAAAAACCTACTGAAAGTGACAAATTATGACGTAAAAAGTATTCATCACATGAACATATTGACATTCTCATGGTACCTTTAAACTATGATACATCTGAAACATCCATCCCAACTGTACCTGCCACAGACACCTGGTGAATTTTAAAAAAAAGAAATTATCATTACCAAAAGGCCCTGAAATTGCCCTCAAAGCCATTTCTTAGCAGTCACTAGGTAGACCGATTCTAGCCTGCCTGATTTCCTTTGCCTGCTATTGTCTTTATCAGCATGCATTCCTCACTAAAAATAAAATAGGGGAGATATGAATGTGAAAAGGATGTATTTATTGAAGAACTTAAAAAATGAATTCTTGTGCTCTTCAGTAACTTAGATTCCTACAGTTTAGACAATGCTTAGCTTTTTCTTTCCACAGAAATAAAACTGCTTACTTCCAGAATTTTCTTCTGAATTTATTCTATCTAATTCTACTATTATTTTTAAGAGTCGTCCTATAATCAAGCCTCTGTGTGTATCTATAAAACATCACTAAAAATAGCATGCTGGCAGAAACCAATAAAGCAAATAAATCAAGAAATCCTAACTTTAACTTCTGCTATTTAGTACAAAATGGAGAAACTCATATGCTCTCCTCAAATTCTTCTTGCAAAACACCTCATGGAAATGGAGGGAATGTGCTTTCATTTTAAAAACTCTCCTTTTTTAATTTCTTTCCTATGCCTCAGAGTCTGTACCAGCTGCATCGGGAAAATGCCATCACCAGAAGAGAAGAGATGTTTGAGTAAAGATACGCTTACAGAAAAGAAAATACACTGTGATCTCTATAACTAATTATAAGCTATTTCTGCTGGTAGCTCTTAGGTTTGGAGGAGTGCTCTTCTTTGTACTTGTTTACATTTTTTAATAATCATCAAGGACAGGTACTTAAGCTCTGGCACTAACACCTGTTCTACCAAACAAATCACTTAAGAACCTTGGGCAATACATGTCTGGGCAATACAGGACTCATCATCAGAGATTTTATACAAAGCTGGACAGCTGGTTTACATAAGACATATTATCAGATGGAGTGTGAGACTGCTCCCATTGAGCCATTTGGGACCTGCACAATAGGTAGGTAAACAGAGCTGAAGTCAGAACCACCTATTTTTTATATGATCATTGTAAAAATCAGGCACAGATCTACCTTTTAATCATCTTATGGTTGTCCAAATAGCCATCCGGGGAGAACTGTGCCATACTTATGGCAACACCAGTAAGCCATGATGGCACTAATTCTTATTTGTGAAACACAAACAAAATTTGTGAGGAAGGACTCGCTGGAACTATAGAAGGTCACTCTAAATTAAAGTTTCTAAACATGAGATGAGCCAGAGGAAACGAATTGTGAAAATCATGAAATTGGCATCATCTTATGTTCACATTTCTCTTCACTTCACATGAATTAAAAGCTATCCTCAAAAATTGTGTTTTCATTGTCCTCTGATATCACTAAACATCAGATTGCCACAGGAGGGGTCACACGTTCACACTCCACAAAAATCTCAAAGCCTCTATACGACAACTACTCTGCTATCTTGAAAACGCACAGATGACAACACAAAGTTATGAAAACATAGTTTTCTTCTAATGAGAAAAGCAGGTGTAGAAAGCCTACTCAGTATTTGCCAAACAAATATTTGTTTACTTGACCGCTTAAGCTGTAGAAGCACACAAAACACTGCAGCATCATGTGTTTGCATTTGGAGATTCCAATTTAGCAAGACTCATCAACTCAGATGGCTGAGCACAGCAGTTGTGATCTGGACAGCTCAGTCAGAAATGATTGTTTATTTAGATTTATAACAACAAAACATGGACAGGCAATTGTCAAGGACACTAGGTAATACACCCACCAAAAAAAGAAAAAGAAGAAAAATAGAGCAGGAAGTTCTGTAATTTTATATATGCACACATATACATACATATATGTATGCCCAACACACATCTGCACAAAATGGACAATACGTATATTGGGCATATATATATACACGTATGTGTGTATATACAATTGCAGAATTTCCTGCTGTATTTTATTTCAACACATATTTGACATACACGTGTATATATATATATATATGCATGCATGTGTGCATGTAACTACACAAACACATATAGATAGAATGTAGCTAAACCTTGTAACTAATTTAGAAAAAGCAATCTAGCCTACTCAGCTTTTCTCCTTCAAAAATCCACATCTGTTGAAGTGCTCTTGTAGAGAACCTTGCTTTGCAATATGCCTTGAATAATCATAAGATGGAAATCACTAGTTATAGAGCAGAATGTTATAAAGTCTACTGCTCACCTAGTAGAGTATTCTTCACAGTTGGACTCAATTTTAAAGGTCTTTTCCAACCTAAATGATCCTATGTGGGTCCATAGGGAAAACAGTTATGTCCTTAGTTTCTAATAAAACGAGGATGATTCAAGGAATGACTAGAACTTACTCACTAAGCACCATACTACCTGGAAGTTTTGCTTCTCACTCCTTTACCTTTCATAGTACTTCTGCTATTTTGAGGCAAATTTCCCTGAACTCAGACTTGAGGACATTCGACTTACACTTCTGAAAATTACTAGATTACAATTCTTGAAGCTCCTCTGAAATTTCACTTTCATTTTACAAGTGGAGAAAGCAGATATAACAAGACAAGTTTTCTTCCTTCCCTTTCACATGCTAAGCTTTGTGTATGTTCTCTGGGGCAGTGATTTGCTAAGAAACGCTGCCTCTTGGCAATTTCTCTAGCAATTAGACTGGCCAATAACAGTATAGTGTTTTAGCATGAATGGACAAGCTTGACAGAAAGATCTATCAGCTGTTCAGCCCACACTGCTGTACGAATGAGGAAATGACTGGAATATTAATTGCCTTTAAACAGAAGTAATTACTCATTTTTGTAAGACTACTAGCAGGAAGAAATAAATAACTAGAATAGAATATTATGAAAAACGTTTAATTTTTCTGTCTTTAACAGTGCATTTAAGGATGAAAGAGCAAATCCACTTCTTGTATGTCTCTTCTTTCTTTCCCTGCTCTGACATTTCGCAGTATCTTACAGTTTTTGCTTTGCATAGAATGTGGAACAGTGAATGGATTTGACGCTTAACTACTGAAATCCCAATTTCCAGTTTGCTATTTTTGTTCTCTGTTTGGGATTTGTTAGGCTCTGATGGTTTTGAAGCAAGTGACATGTTGAGGTTTTTTTCAGACAAAACATTTTTAAGAAGATTCATGAACATAACAATTCATGCGCATCCTAAAAACATGTAAGGCACTATCTCTTTGAATTCATCTGCTTGAATGACAGTACATGGGTCTGAAGTTTCATAGGCAACAAAATTAAATAAAGCTTAGCTACATAATTACCTTGTGAAAAATCTCAGTATTTTGATTCTCAAAAAATTTATTAAAAATTATATTCCAATATTTATAAGCATTCTAAAAGGAAAGGTTTGCACTATATTTTCCATTTGTTTGCTCACCTGAGATTTTCAGTCTTAAATGGACATGCATCAGATTTATTCCGAAGAAAAGTTAATATATGCTGTTCAACTAGGCTATAGTCTCTTTCAAAAGAAGTAGAATCCAGTTCATGACTTGAAAACACAGGCTATTTGCAGTACTATCTTTAGTTGCTCAGAATACCAGTCTTTGTTTATCATCTACCAAACGGCATTTTTTTACTGCACAGCATCAACAGAACTAGGAAGGAAAGTGAAGAGTTTATGACATAGTATAATAGAGCTGATTCCTAACAGTTACCCAGCTGTCATTTTAACCCCATTTCACGTCAGCTGAGCGACTTCTTTCAGCAGAGGATCCATTTAGTGGAAAAGAGGAGATACTCTCAGCCTATCCATTCTTTGATATTTTAGTTTCACAAGTGATACTATGTGGAAACCTGCCCTTGCCATATTTCTAAGAGGATTACTCTCAAAAGTAAAGTGTTTGTAGGCACAGCATCATTGTAATGCATATCTGTCTCATTCACTATGATTTCTGATTTTTCCTATTGCTTTTAATTGCAGTAGTCTTGAACACTGCTCCCTCCCAAGATTAATTTTGAAAAGGTATAAGAAATCATCTGATACTACATTGTTCTTTATAAGTGTAGGTCTATCCATCTGTTTGGCTGCAGAATTAATCCACGTGTTTGCTCTTTTACTTCATCAGTTCTACCAAACAGAAATAAGTGTATAGATTTAGGGATAACCCCAAATTATGGATGTGTTAATATAGGTACAATTTTGCAGGTTTCTTAAGATTACACAATGACACCCTTTCCTAAGATGGAAGTGATATGAATAGGTGTTGGACGTGTTATCTAGTCCAAACATGCCACCACTCTCGGGAAAACTATTTTATTGGCAGGAAAATCCCCATAAGGAAAGAGTTTTTTAGACTACCCAAACAAATAGGTCTGCTACAGGAAAGAGCTGTAGTTCTAAAAATGTAGTAGTGAAGCAACAAGAAAAGATTGTTGAAGTCCCACCCTTTTGTTAGGCTAGAACATACCTGGCATGCTGATGGATGACTGTGATTGAGGTCCCACTGGGAAGATACTATGTCAACAGACTTTTCAGCCATATTAAGCAAATTCATCCAGCCTTGGAAAAGAGACAAATGGGATGGTGCACTGTCTGAATAGTTGATCCCTTCAGGAATATTTTCCACAAGAGCAACCCTGAGAATACATAAGGAAAAAATAGCCACTTAACAAAAGCACTTTTCTTTATCAAAAAGTTCCAAATTGTAAAGAATGTCAGGTTTGGTGCCTGTGGTTCAACATCTGCTCCCAGAGGCTCTCAGCAGTGTGTCACCCCTGAGCTTGCTCTGAAGTTGCTGACTGTCATGCTCTGTGCTTCCCAAAACAATAAAATGGGGAAATGACCCACTGTTAATGCAGCAAAGCCAATTAAGCTTTTGAAGATCTGCAAAATTAGTGTAAACATAGAAAAGCTTCCTTTTTAAAACACTGCAAGTGGCAATTAGACCTTAAGGTGAGGATGAGAAGAACAAAACAATCTCTTCCTGTTTTACCACTCTCATCTTGGCATTTAATTTCTTCTCTTCAAGCAATGCGGCAAGACACGTACTCCCTGGCATTCTCTTAGGTCTGCTTTCACAGCTGACATTTTATTACATTGCAGCCTCTATACATGAATTATCCCTTTCCAACTGCTCTAAGCTACATAATTTTTCTGCTTTTGTTTACCTGTGTGTAAGGCTTTAACTGGGATCCAGTGGTTAAGAAAAGAAGAATTATGCCCTTTTAATTTCCTGTTCTTTTTTTGGAAGACTCCTTGAACTTACTGTCTACATTATTCCAAAAGTTTGCAAATTACATACATTCACATGGATCCAAGAAGCTAAACAAACATTGTAAACTGACAGTTCAAAATATGCTCCTCTGCTTCAGGGAAATGATGCGTTTCATCCAGCATACTGCCTCACTGCTAGATTCCTTAAATTCCAACAGGTAAAACTCCTCTCTACACTCAATAAAGTAATCTTAAAAATAAACACAAGTCAAACAAGTTTCCCAATTCTCTCTTTAGATAAAGAGATTAGATCTTCAACTTATCCAAGTGTCCCTTCTCTAAGTGCCCCCAGTATCTGCCACTTTTAGTGTGAATCATAGAAACCAGATTTAGGGACTTGGAGAATACTCCATTGTATCCAAATACAAGAAGCATTTCCAGATTGTTGCTGTACTTATGAATTATACACTAATTATCAACTCCATCAATATGAAAATTATTTGTAAACTTTTTAAAAGTAAATCATTAATACAAACCTCTAGTGTAAACGAGAGCTGTACACTTTTTGACTGTTCGAAAAACAGGTTAGTGCAGTACCTTCTATTAATTCAGTTCACCCCTACATGGTCATATGGAAGCTTTTATGGCTATTTCAGAATATCAAGCATGTTTATGAAGTTAACCCATTAAAAGACTGAAGATTATTACTCTAACTGTGTAAAGAAAATCCAGGAAGAATTGTGATAAAGTAATTATCACATTCTTACTCTCCTGGCTTAGCAAAAAAATCCACCCCCCCAAAACCATAACAGGCACAGCTCCACCTTTCATTAAATATTGAAACATGTTTTCTTATACCCCAAAATCTATCAAACAACATACATATCACTAAGCTACAATTACTGATGACGTTCTCCACAACATACTTTGAACACACTATTCTATTGATTAATATTAAACTTAACTGTATTATAGTAACAGAGTTGTAACAACAGTAAATTAACTGTAAAAGGTAAAAAACACAACTTGATTTTTTAATGTCTTCAAAGCATACTTTATTCTAAAACATTCTACCTACCTTGTTTACAAACTTTCAAAATAACTAGTGCCCTAAAAATTCTTTGCCCTTATTAGTCTATTAGCAATGCTGCACTTTTTAAAAGAAACTATTTTATTCTGACACTCAATGTTTTAGGCTTATTTATGCTGCATCTAACCCTGTTACAGAACTTAATAAAACTTTTGTTAGATCTCTTGAAAGCCTGGTTAGTTCTTTTTCAATAGTTAACATTACTAATCATATTGTGGCTCTTAGCAATGTCCATGTTCCCAGAGCTGTTTTCTGAAGACCTGCAGGATAGCCTCCTTCAAAGAGCAGGAAACTGAAGCATAGAAGATAAAGTGATCTCTACAAGGACATAACCCCCCCCCCAACTACACAGTAGCACAGATGAGAAATGAATCCATGTCCTTCTGGCCTCTTCCACCCCCTACCCAATCACACATAGATACAGGAGAGCGCTATTTTGAATGTTCTCCAAAGACATTCTTTGTATCAAATGATTATTTTAAAAATTATCATTCAAATGTGGTTCTGATTTAGCTGGAATTTAAAAGTGCACATCAGTCCCTTAACACAAGATGTGACCAAAATTTCTCAACAGCAGAATATTGTCTGACATGCATAGTGTTTTCTGGTGGAACCTAAGCAAATGAATATAGATGACCCCACAAAATGACTGATTGGATTGAATCTATTATGGTCACTTCCAGGGGCTTGTAATGGTGCTTCCCATGGGCTGTACAGAACGGCTGTCTCACTGGAAAGCATAAGCTTAACTTCCATTCTTCCTACCTCTGTCTTTGGCCAGTTGGAAGCTGCCAAAAACATAACACTGCCAAAGGAGAACTGAGATGATCTGGAGATCATGTATCTCAACCGCTCCTGTCAAAGCAGGGTCAGTGACAGCAGGTTGCTCAGGACATTGTCCAGTATATTCCTCTAACCACTCAAAAACACCAAACTCAGAAATTAAAAGTAGTCAATCACCAAGTTTCTAAACTAAGTGATTTTGCCTTCATAATCTTCCCTTTTCCTTTGGCACAACAGCAAAGTTCCACTGCTTAGTCAAGAAGAGTTTTGTTAAACCTCTGTGCAAATTTTGGGTTTGCAAGCCCCAAATCCATCAATAAAAGCTAAATTTAGTTCTAATTTTTGTTCCAATATGACCCACAAAGAGGTTTTTAAATATTGTGTAACAAAAACTTCCAGGAAAGAAGGTCATTCACAGACCTTGAGGAAGATTAGACATGGTGACATAATTTATTCTGCAAAAATGGCATATTGACAAAGCAAAATAAAAGTAGCATGTTGATTAAAATAGACTTTTCCTATGCTCAAAGTCATTAGCAGATAACCTTACATCTGTTGGATGAGATGTCCTTCCCTTCCCTGATTTCCTGGTGCTCTGAGTATTTTATCTGATTAATGGCAACATAAGCTAGCCTCTTCAGTTATATGGGTGAATATTCTCAAGCCTACCTCACACAGACTGAGAAGCCTGAAAGTAATGTTACCTGATTTCTGTGAAGTTACAGAGAGCACCAAGGCTCAGAACTGAGATGCAAGCTCCTCTAAGCTAACAGAAATGTGGTAAGCAGTATAATTGTATTTAATGCCTATCAAAGAATAGACCTTGACCTCAATAATAAGACTCTTCTGAGCTCAGCTACATGACTTGCATTTAACAACTCTAAGTGAATTCTGTCCCAGGCTAAGGGTTCTTCTTCATCTTTGACAGTTCTTTGGTCAGAAAGCAAGAAGGTCAGTTTCTGATCTCGCACCAATTTTTTCCTCTGAAGGAAAGAGACAGAGTCTTAATTTAGCATCTGGGTTAGTTAGAGTAGAAAGAGGGCTAGGGCAGTGAAAATAGGGAGAGGCTATATGTCTGTCTCTTGAATAAACTTGGGGTTATTGGCAAAAATTTATAGCTCTGTTGAAAAGTTTAGCTGTAGTTGATTACACAAACATAAAAGGAAAGTTCTTTTGATAGTTCAAACTTCACACTATATTAAAATGACAAGTTGTAGAACATTATTCACTCCAGTTTGTCTCAATCCAGAGTCATAAAGCAGAGAAAATCTAGGTCTCATGCACTTAAGTGTCTCTACAACATCTGAATTTACTCACCATTAAAAGGAAGAAACATGATAAGAAGACATTGAGACAATAAAGAAATGAAAGATGAGCAAGAAGACTGGGAAAGGTTACATGAGTCCTGCCCCTACACCAGGGTCCTAGTTCAAGATACTCTTTTGGGGCCCAATCTCTTAATCAAGAAGTCCTGGAACCACCAACCCTTGCCCTGAAGAGCCATGGCTCCTCACAGAGTTCCAGCTCCTCCTTTGATATAACCCCAGAGTCTTTAATATCCATTCAAAACCTAGTCTTTCTCAGATCAGTGCTTTCAGTTGAGGCTTTCACCATGTCACCTTCAAGCCCTCCCCTTCCTCCTACATCACATCACTCCCACCACTCTTCTCCCTCAGATCTACTCATTAGCTGTCGTTCTGGCCAAGACCAGCTCCACAACAGGACCACAGGTCCAGCTCTTGCTTCAGAAAGGGATTAAGAAATAACCTGCTAGACAAGGTATAATTGCTGTTCCAAAAACATGCGGAACAAACTCTTTTTTTCCGTGTTCAGAAAAGTGTCCTAAAAAGAAGAGAAAGCACAGCACAACTTACCAGTATATTTGGATATTCTCCTTACAGTCAGTGGTAAGGATTTGGAAGACCATGCACTACAATTCTACTTGCAATCAGACTCCAGAGCATAAACGTATGCAGTGTATTTGGATAATCACATGGTATTTCCAGTAAAGAAAATTTAAACTGGGCATTATATGTAAAATCTACTCTATAACTAATTACATCTAAATCTTCCAGTATGAGAAGTTACAGAATCTATTAGCTATCACATGCTGTCGATTTCAATTTAAAACAAAATGTTTAACCCATTAAAGTAAATTCACTGCAGAACACAATGGTTAAAAGTGAAATGGAGAGCAGATAAGATTGAATTTAAAATGGACTGTGAACTCAAACTAAGTACCCTAAAGCACCTACATTATTGGCATTTAACTGATAATGCCACAAGCTCTGTAACAGTCCTCCAACACTGACAATCTCAACTGGTGAGGCACATGCATGTGCGTTTGTACATGTGCATGCACCTGTGCATATGCACACTACAAAAGCTCTTTGCTAACATTTACTTGTCTGGTTTTTGAGTTTTACTCATGAAAACTTTGATTTCCAGACACAAAATCTTGGGATGCCAAATGCTTGGTTTAAGACTATGCTTTAAATTAGATCTGCAGTGAATGCAGAGAAGTTCAGATTCATGGTATTAAATACATTT